CGCTGTTTATGGGTGAAGTGAGGACAATTCGTGTGAAGTACCTTAATCTTTCGCTGTTTATGGGTGAAGTGAGGACAATTCGTGTGAAGTACCTTAATCTTTCGCTGTTTATGGGTGAAGTGAGGACAATTCGTGTGAAGTACCTTAATGGGGCATGAGGCTCGAACCTCTGAACCAGCAACGTCACGATGACGAGTCCGGTAGCCTAACAATCGTTTCCACGTGATTCTGGTCCCCTTGAGCATCCTTCATATACTTCGGACTGCCAACCGTTTCCACGTGATTCTGGTCCCCTTGAGCATCCTTCATATACTTAGGATTGCCATTGTACTAACCACCACCAAGAGAAATAAAATTATGGAATTGCTGAAAGTGTACGTAACAGTCCATAACGAAATGATATTTTTTGAGGATTAGAGTGAAAAATCAAGATCAGGGCTGTTTGATTGCTTGTCCAAGAGCTCTACCTGCTAAACAAAAGTTGTATGTAAAAATGTTATGTAAGCGTCCCAATAGCATGATGTTCTTCTTATCGGCAAGCATTCACTGAAGCGCCCTTGAGTAGAAGTTAAATTTAATATAGCTACAATATCAATTACTCGTTACTTTAGGAAAAGGTTTTTCTATGGTTGTTTTATGTTAGTATTTTTATTCGTAACTGTCTTCACTCCTCATAATCTCTGTTCACACCCATCCCCCTCCCAAGAACTTGCACAGTTACAACCTACCCCAGGTATCTATTTTTCTTTTTCTACGATAGCTCTTCCTCCGATGATGATGAAGATGATTTGGACGAAGATGAGCACTTTGGTCGTCATAGGATGATGGTGCAGTGAAGAAATTAAGATTCTAATAAATCTTTAAAATGTGTGAGTACTTTGGTGCAATGCCAATAGGTTTTTTAATACTGACACGCATTTTTATTTGCATGTATATATTTATATATATAATAACATGTGTGTGTGTGTGTGTGTGTGTGTGTGTGTGTGTGTGTGTGTGTGTGTGTTTGTGCGTAACAACATGTGTGATATCCACAATATGCCATCAGCTTTCCTACATAACTCAGACGGCATGTGTTATATTGTATAATATGGGTGAGTAATGTTGGTGATGTTTTTAACAAATAAAAATAACAATGAAGATTCGCTAATCCTTTGTTCTCTTCTTTCTATCCAGCAGTCTATGTTCATTTATAATAAAATAAAAACGAAATGCATTAACATTTTGGCCTTTAATTAAAATTTTTAAAAGGTAAGATAAACTCTATGGATCCACAAAGGAAGTTATAAAATTATACCCTCACAAGAGTATCTACAAACCAAAATTCAGCACCAATATCGACATGCACTGAATCATAATTCCTGCCCCGTGAGACACCTGAAACGACGCACAACTCACTCAAACAAGTGAAAACAGTAAGTCCGTGGGCATAAAACACTTTCTCACTTTTGTACGAGTATGTATCCTACGTACTTGCCATTGTAACCGTATGTGGTATTGTTCCTTTTTTCCATTTCTTTTTCTTGTTTACGGTGTTCTTTCCATGTGTCGTCTTTTTTACTTTTTAGCTTTATCCGATTAGTCAAGTGCCACATTTTAGATAATATTATTAATTATGCTGGCTATTTTCAACCTAGGAGGCAGTTAAAAGATTAAAAAATACGAACAAAATCGAATTCAGTCTCAGCTTTATCCTGGGACAATGATTGTAGCTGTGATGTTGATATTTTACAGCTCATTCGGCAGAAATAAGATCCGTTTGATGACAGTCCCTGTGGCTTTTATTTCCCGAAACCTAAAAAGTTACGTTTGCAAGGTTAACGTCTGTGCCACACATCTCGCTACTACTACTACTACTAATACTACTACTACTACTACTACTACTACTACTAGCCTAGCCCAGGGATTCCAAATAATTCGGAAGTGCGCGACGCGAGAGAAATCCCAAGTCCCGCCAAAGCAGGAGGCAGCACAAGCACTGATGGCATGGTTGTTTGTATGGACTGAATTTATTTTACAATGTTGAGGTTTCAATAA